AAAAGAATTTGCTTTTCTTTGGTCAGATTGCACAAGGAGGTATGTCAATACTTGAGTACAATGCTAGAATATCAAAACTCGGAAAACTTGCTGGATTACCAGAATCAAAAATAAGAGAGCAGTATATTCGGGGATTAAATCCTATGAATCAATACAATGTCCGCATGATGGCTAAATACCATAATACTAGAAATAATATTACAAAAGCATTAGTTGAAGCGGAAAAATTTTCACTACTGCAAGGCAACTTTCCATTCCCACCTTCTGGAGGTCAAGTGCTTACTCCCTATGAAAAAAGTAGCAATACAGGTATGACCAAAGATGAAATAGAAAACTTCGTAAAATCTATCATGACATCCACACAAGCTCAACCGGTCTCACAAACTATCTCTTCTAAACCTCAGGAGAACCAAATTACACTTTCATAAGACAATTTCAAAAAAATTATAGCGGGTTTGAAAGGAACTATTGCTAAAGGACAGCAAACTTTGAAGAAACCCCCTGGACCAGGGAAACGAAAAGCTGATGATCTTGCTATAAACCGTTTTTTAGATAGTTTTATCGATGACACAGATTTATCAGAAGAAGCTTATGACTATGATCCCATTGAAGATTTGAGAAAACAATTTGAGGATTTGGATATCAATCAAGCAAAACTAGCTCAAATAATACATGCAGTTTTAAAATCTTCTCAATACAAATATTCAAAGTGTAGTAAAACAGGTCATAATTCTCGCAACTGCCCTAAAAATAAAAAGAAGAGCAAGTCCAAACGTTCTAGCAAAAGCAGATTCAAGAAAAAAGATAAGATTAATATAGCTACTAAAGACTCAGATTCTGAGTCCGATGCTAGCTCTTCTAATAATGAATCTAATTCCGACTCTGACTCTGGGTCAAGTTCTGGTTCTGAATCAGAATCTGATTCTGTGAATGACTTAATTGAGACTGAAATCGTGAAAATTATCAATGCTGTTAAATCAAAAAAAAAGTAAAGCGGAAGAGTAAATCGGATAAATCATCTAAAAAGTCTAGTTCAAAGAAGAGACAGAGTCTCGAGAAAGCAAAGCTTCGAGTTTCCAACTCATCTCCGATTCAACGTTCTTCACAAAAAATACAAAAGAAATCAGGTACGATTATTGACTCACAAATTCGAAAAATTATCCTAGCTATGTTTAACGATCCAGAGGTTATAGAAACGATTAAAAACAATATTAATAATACAAATTTGTCTATCGCAAAACCTGACTTTATAAATTATCGAGAACCAATCCCAGAAATACCTGATTCAGATAATGAAGAGGAGACACTGAACGATCCTATGGAGATTGATTTTGTCCGTCGGAAAGAACCGGTAATTAGTATTGCAACTATACCAGTTAAAATCAAACGCTTAAAAATTCCAGCATTGGTACTAGATAGTGGTGCTAAACCTGCAATCATATCAGAAGACATTGTTAAACGTGTAGGCGGGAAAATATATAGGTCAGAAAAATATGATCTCAGTGGCGTTGCTACTGTTCCAACGGAATCGATTGGCATCACTCGTAATTTACCAATAACATTTTCTCCAGGTTTTACTATATGTGAAGATTTTGTAGTTGTTCGAGTTCCCAAACCGACATTAATATTCCCAAACCCACTTCTCAAAAAATATAAATGTGTTGTAGATTGGGGTAATGATAAAATGAAGGTTCATTATAACGGAGAAGATTTTATTATTCCGGTCACTATGTACAAAGTCAAAAATAAACTCGAAGTAAATTGTGCTACTACATCTCAAGATGATAAGCCTATGGTATCTGATCAAATTTCTCAAAAGACAGATAATGATAAGGATAACAATGTATCATTGGAGGAATGGCATGCTCCTGCGTGTTTTAGCTTAGATGATGCAGAGCATCGAATCTTTGATTCCTCTAATGATCCATCATTAAAAAAAACGCATGAGTTATGAAGAGTTAGAAAAATCACTATATACTACTCTCCAGTCTAAGGCTGAAATAAATGGTCTTTGTGAAAAGTTGCAAATGCGTTATGAAAAGCTACTCGAATATATCTCCTCTAGAGATGATAGCGTAAATAAAGAAAAGTTAGACTAAATAGTAGCTAATAGGCGAGTCATATTTGCTTTATTTTTCTCATCTCTTCTGGCTTCTTTTTCATATAATGCACCAAGATCCTCACTATTTATTTTTTCCATCTCATTAAGTGTAGATGCTACCGCATTAAAGTTATTAGTAGGTATTAGATCAGATATACAAACAGATTTAGACTGAGATTTGGAACTTCTCTTTTTTATTTCTGTATTAAGAGGAATAGTAGATTCTGGATATAAAGTCTCTCTTCCAATTTGATTAAAATTTTCAGATGGAGTTGATAAGACTAGTGTAGATATAGGTAATATTTCAGTGGAAATGGTACTTTGTATTATTTGTTGTTAGCGCTCTCGATCTTCCCATATATCATCTACTCGATGTTCATTAATATGGAAATCTCTCATAATTTTATACTTAGGTATCTTATCTTTAAGCGATCTAATTGTTTCTATCTGCTCAGAAGTTAGATATGTAGATTTTTGGCGATAATATAATTTTAGAAATGGTGTATTCATGGTTTGATTTTTTATCAAATATTTAGAATGTTATTTAATATTTTAGAATAATAAAAAATGATATCTATTATTATAGCTCGATAAAAAATAATATCTATTATTATAGATCGATAGATGAATAGGAAATATTAGTGTGAGCGAGTCTTTGGCAGTATTAAAAATTGAAATAAATATATAATAATTACTATATAAACTAATTCAACAGTATTTAATATTTTTTATTAATAAACTAGGATATCTAACATTAAACATCGTTAGATAATGATAAAAATTATTAACGAAATTAGTTTTATTAATAACTGTATATTATCTATTATTTAATGGCTAATGTATATACATTACAAAATATTAAAGGCCATCGACTTGGTAGTATTCATGAAGAGGAGCTGGAAAAAAAACTACACGATACTATCAAATCCAAAGCCGAAATTAACAAGCTTAGTGAGAAATTGCAGGATAAATACATAAAGCAAATGAAGGTGTTTAATCGAGAAAGAAAGGGGTGGAATCGGGATTCGTTACGAAATAATACCGAGATCCAAAAGTTACGCTCCCACGCTTTGCAGGTTATTAATGAACATAAGCAACTACAAAATGAAAATACCAATCTTATTTCTTATAACGCACAAAAGGATATTTTTATTGCTGAGTTCAAGGTTGAGAATGTTACAAAATCCAAGAAAATTAGATCACTTGAGTCTATGATCAAGATATTGGAAGGTAAGTTGTCTTCAGCCCAGAAAGACATGATTTCGATTCAAGAGAACTCATCGAAAAAAGAATCTGAGATCACGTTGCTTAAATCTAAAATAGCTAAAGTAGAACATGAGTTAGCTTCGAAAGTTAATAAACTTGAGTGTCTAAAATCGGAGGCTATATCAAAGCCCGTCATTGGTGGAGATGTCAAAAAAAATATAATCAAGGGGCACAGAGTGCACTGCTCCGCAGATAGTGATCTAAGTAAATATTTTATACGCGGAAAAAATATGGATTCAATAGAAAAAATTGATAGTAATATCTCGACACATATTAATGGTGAAATTACCGAACCATCAAAAAATAATACAGAGATTATTACCAAGGCAAGTGATGAAATCGATATTAGCAAAACCAGACACGAAGTGTCCTGCTCCGCAGACAACAATACACTTCAAAAATTACTGAATATGTCACCTCTATTAGCATGTATATTACTTGTTCTGTTAATTATTGCCGTTATATGGTTCGTGGTGAGACGCACGTGGAATATAGGTAGGCTCAAAGAGCCAGAATTCAAAGGGTCGCCTTATGGCTTGCTCCGCAATAAAAAAGTGATTGGCTATGGGATACGTGGATCCGATAACAGGCTGTCTATTTGAACTTCGATATTATTTATGTACGAAAAAATATTATTAATAATGTATAGCGGAACTAGTGTCTGTGGCAGGCACGTAAGTGTCATTGTTCCACAATAAGCCACAAGTCTTCGACACTAAAGAGATATTTTATATATTCGAATGTATCTTCTCCAAAATTATAAAAATCTAATGTGTTTCCGTAATTATCTTTTTCAATATTGGTAAACATCTAGCTTCTGCCATATTTAGTGAATTATTCTGTAGTAATAAAATTTGGGCTTGTAAATTTAAAATTAATTGCTATGAATTGCGCTCTCTATTTTTCCACTTGATATGACTTGCCTTCCGATTTTTGAATTTATTGTAATATGTATCAAAGAGCCGATCTCGATTATATTCTAATAATCCTTTATCAGCCTGACATCTTCGCAATTCTTGTTCTAATCAATAGTTTTTTAATCTATACAGAACTTCAAAAACATGCTTAAGTTTAGATCGTTCTTCTAATGCCAAGGTAATATTATACCACAAACGCCCTCGCATATTATACCTTTGTTATAAATCCCTATTATTGGTATGGCATCGCTGTAATAATAATTGGATAGCGAACTTTTCTCGAATTAATTCACCAACACGTCTATTTTTATCACGATATGAGAACCACCAGCGACGACGTTCTCTTTGTTCATTATTATAAGCTATAGTCATCAAAGTAAGATCATTCTGATAATTGTCACGCTCTTGAGTAAGTCAGTTAACTTGATTTCGTAAGTTATGTCACTCTCGGATAATTTGATTAACTTGGTTCTGTAAGTTATCTCGTTCTTGGGTAATCTGATTGACTTGGTCCTGAAAATTATTTTGGGTAAGCTGATTAACTTGATTTTGCAAAACGATATTCCGTTGTCTATAGAAATTGACATCCTGTTGTAACTGGACTATCTGATTATCTCTGTCATCTCGTTGAGCAATAACACCATCTATATCCTGGTACGCAGACTGATAATTAAGACGAACAACATTTAAGGAGCCTCTAATGCCATTTATAATATTTATAGGATTATTTAATGGTGTTCTGGCACCTCGAATATGATTTTCAATACGATTCAAGCCTCGATCGATTTGTATAAAAACTTTGTACTATATGGTACTATCATTTAGGCCCGATTGTCTTGTTAATACAATAAAAAAATACATGTGAGACGGGAAAACTATCTACCCGTTATTCTTCGGTAAATTTTTTGATCCTAGCCTTCTTACTGGTTGGGAAGTTCACATGACTGCGAGACAAATCTGTCCCGGAAAAATGCCGATACAAAAATCGATTGCGTATACAGATATTCGATCAACATGTCACAGAAGAAAATCGAAGGTCGTGGAACATTTCATGCATGATGTAATCGTGTGACCTTCTGGTTGTTACATGGCATTGCTTACCTCATTTATCGTTTTTTTGCTTTTTTTCTTGTGTTCCATTCCGCAGTCTACCAATAACATTCCACCAAAAAATCTTATATATCTCGAAATGTCCATTACTTTATTCTGTCTTATTAAAGGAAACACACCCGTGAACGCTTTCTCTGTTAAAATAAATAGTGATGAGCCTATTAGTGAGCTCAAAAAAGTTATCAAGGCGGAAAACACGCAGGCTTTTGCTAATGTCGACGCCAAAGATCTCAAGCTGTGGAAGGTGGAAATTCCTGACGATCACGATTCCGAATTAGTCAACCCCGCATTAGATGTCGAACTTCTGGCAACGAAAAAGATTTCGAAATACTTTTCTGTCACGCCAGCCGAAGAATGTATTCATGTTATAGTCGATCCACCTGTATCAACCACCACTTCGAACCGTGAACAGGAATTGCTGGATGAACTCGCTTCATTGAAAGTATTACTTAACAAGTCTGTCTATGGTACGTGTTTCAAATAATATGTATAAAAATTTGTTTCTGATCGTTTCCATTGGTAACGGTTTTTGTCACATGTTATTTTTTTACTAACTCTGTCACTGCATTGTAGACTTCGACGTCATCGTCCACCCGAAACGTAAGGCAAATAAGTGGACTGCAAATATCGAACATGTAACTCTCGAAGCCCTCAAAGATTATATTCGTAAAGAATATGAACCACCGTCTCTTGAAAAAGATGGGGCTGTGTTAAAATTCATAAGTGGCGATAAAGAAAGATATTCACCTCGGAACGATGAAGAATTGCGTGAAATGCTCCAGCTGTTCGTGGTAAAAAATAGCTTTAAGTTTACCGTGCTCATAGAAACACCCTCAAAAGCCTTTTCAGATTGGACCTTTCCGAAAGTGTGCGAACTCTACGGTCTTAGCGATGACCCGAATCCCAGTACTGACGTGTACCCTCTTTTTTCATGCGGTTGTACTGACCTAAGTAACGAGAAGTCCAAATCCGTGATTAATCATCTAATGGCTGAATTGAACCTTCGTAAGAAGACCACCCCCCTTGATGTTGCGTATGAGGCAATTAAAACCATCTATTCTTACTGTTACCTGGCCAGCGGAGTATCGTTCTATGAAAAAAACTTCAAAATCGTACCAGAAAAGTTTGTCACAGGACACAATGGGCAAGGAAACCTCGATTATGCAATAGAATGTCGCTCAACTAATAGGATCGTGGGTTTAGTCGAGGTTAAAAAGGATGATTTTAAGCAAGGTTTTGCACAAGCTACCGTACAGATGGAATCCTCATTATCCCGCAAACGTAAAGCAGACGAAATAGACGATGTATATGGTTTGGATAAAGTATGGGGAATTGTGACAGATGCGGAAAAATGGTACTTTATGGAGTGTACGCTAAATGATGGGAAGCCGACGTTTAAGCTATCGGAACCGGTGACCGTTGTGTATGAAGATGAGGATTTGCAAGCTAAGGTGAAAAAGGTTCTCGGACATATTGTATGGCTGTTGGAGGAGGCACAGAAACCGGTGGAAGCTTCACAAGGTGGAGACCAATCGAGGGTATTAAAAAAGCATAGGTCATCGAGTAATCTCACAGAAGAATAGGATTTCATCATGTATCACGGCTATGTTCCGAAACTTTTTTATATATTAATAAAGTATTTGTTTTTTGCCTCGTAAGAATTATTGGAATATATTTCAAAAAATAGAGAAATTGGTCACGACCA